CTGCAGAATGGCCTCGGAAAGCAGCACGAGCCTTTAGGTCTTTCTGTGCTGAAGTTTGCCATTGGCAGGATGATCGAGGATACTTTGGCACCATCGTGCATCCTTCAGATTCTGGGTTTGGGCTGTCTCAGTGTAGTCGCTCCTTGAAGTGGCGAAACAGCATGACGCTTGCTACTTTCAAGCAGAAGGGGGAACAGTTGCATGGTGAACTTTCCTTTCTCACGAATCTACCTGAAGGATCCTTGGATCGTTTAGAGTCACTAGCCGATGGCTATAATTCAACGACCTTGTTCGACCCTCGGCTCACCGTGTTGTTGTCCCAGTGCCTTGTTGATAACAGATATTCTTCCGATTTGCGAGAAGCTTACTTGTTCGAGGCTCTCTTCGGAAAGAAATTCTGAGGCATTGCGGACAAATGGAAAGACACTTCCTTTGGTTCATCGTCATCCTGATGCAGTTGTGATTCTGTGGAATAAGGGTGATCATGACCATGTCTTTTTCTTGACGATGTCTCAGCTCCTTCCATGTCTCAAGGATATGACAGCCGACAGTTAGTCCATGATTGTGTTTTGGAGTGAGTCGGGGGGCCTGATGTTGGATTGGATTTTACCAAGCAACCAGCACCTGCTCTTGACATGCCGCCACAACCTCCTGGTGCAAATGACTATGTGGACTATCCAGATTACGCTGATCCGCATGGTGAAATGCCTATGGGCGATGAGGATACGCCACAACCTCACGGTCAACAGCCTGAGCCCGATCTTGATGATGATCCGATCGAGCTTGGCCCTGGCGGTGATCCTCCTTCTGTTCCTCCTGGAGGCGAGACCTGGATATGCTTTATGATCCGTCCGGCGGAGGACCTCTTCCAGGAGCTGTCCACAGGGACCGGGACCTGGTTATGGCCCTGCGCTGGATCACCCGCCTCTTGCTATGGAGTACCATGATGAGGCACCTCCTCCTTGAGGTCCGCCAAATGCTCCTTCAACTGGTGTTGAGTCCACCTATGCCGTGGCCTGCACCAGCCTCACCAATCCTTCCTTTGCCGACTCCTCCACATCCGCACTTTCTTGTTCCGCAAAGTCTTCGGCCGCCTTCGCCTCGCAATGTGTTACAGGCGCGTGCTCGGGGTGTTCATGGGTTGCTTTGCTGCCTGTCGGCGGGGAAGAAGGATCCCGCTCCTTCGGATGAACCCCCCTCCCGGTTCATAACGAACCTGGTTCGTCGTCGTCTGGTCCGGCTCCGGTTCCTGTGGGGGAATTTCCCATTCAGCAAACACCCATCCCAGAACCCACCCCGGAACCTCCGGTGCCAGATGTTGGGGACACTGACCCCCACGCCACTGTTGATTACCGTAACGACAGCTTGCTTGCGCCTGCTGCTGGCGACGACGATGCGTCGATGTGTTTGTCGAAGTCATGTGCCTTCCTTTGTTCCTTTGGATGGTGACTGGTTGACCAAGCAAGACCAGCTTAAGGCTGGTGCGCTGACGCCGGCGACGCAGCAAAAGTACTCGAAAGAGATTCGCGCTGCTAAGTCAGAAGAGTTCAAGAGTTACTTGGACAATATGACGCCATCCGGCTCGCGGACCGCCGACAGCTGAGTCGCGATGTCAATTTTCTTACCGGGTGTTGGGTCCTCATTGTGAAGGTTGACAAGAATGATTACTTTTCCAAGTTCGATTCCCGTTGAGTCTGTCGGGGTTTTCAGGACAAGTTTGCCTGGGACCAACAAACGGACAGTCCTACGGCGACTCGGTACGGGTTCCTTTTGGTTGCTCAGTGGTCGCCCAATCACTATTGGGACATTTTTCATTTGGATCTAAAAAACCGCATTTCTTCAGGCGGGACACTACATTCTGTCATCTCGAATGGTCGTGGTTCAGTTGCCACCAGACATCGGCCTTCCACCTTGGATGGTCGGTCTGTGCCTTTGTTCCAGTCTATGGCCTGAACCATGCACCTCGAAGGTGCTGGAACCGTTTGGATAAGAACCGACCCGAGCTGACCAATGCACTTATGTCGCACACGATGAAATCGAAGGCAAGAAGGGTAAAAGCCACTTGGCATCGAGAAGCTTCTCTCAGGAGAAGGAACCCGAACCAGAACCTCCTGGTTTATCTCGAGGAGCTTGCCCTTCATAACATGTCATGTTACGCACATGATGAAGAAAGTCGCGTTGCCTCCGACCGTGCGGAGGATAGATCCTACATGTCGTGTTCGGACATTGCTCAGTTTAACACCTCTACGACAAAGAAGATGGCTGACTATGCTTGGAGACCTGTTACAGATCAACAAAAGCTTCTGGGGTTTCTGGGCAGTGTCGCGAGTAAGAAGAGAGGCTGGTTCCCATATCAGAATGGACATGCGCTGATCTCTCACAGGGCAACTGTCCTTACCGCGTCTCGATGATCCTTCTTAAAGGCACTTGGTGGATTGTAGAGCGAGCCCATGATTTGAGACAGGACAACGAGCCCTGCTATCTTGAAGAGGAAGCAGAGGTCTTGGTCTCCCTGTTCTTGCCCGAGAAGGCTTCGTACAAGGTTGAGAGCTTGTCCGAGCTCTCTCCCGAGCTCCTCGACCAATTGCTTGAACACTTGGTTGAGGAAAGGCCGTAAGACAGTTGAAGTAATGAGCCTGCATGTTGATGATCTCATCATCAGTGGGACTCCTGAGTTCCTTATTTGGTTCTTGAAGAAGATAAGGGAGCATCTCATTGTGGGTCATGAGGACAAGCACGATCTGACATTCACGGGACAGCGTGTCCATTGGGTAACTGATGCAAAGGGGATCAAAAAGTATATCTCGATCGATCAGAAGCAGAAGCTGCGTCTGAGCTTGAAGAGGTTGTCATTCCTAAGCATCTCAGGGATGCCGATGCTTGTGACAAAGCTCTTCATACCAGTTTTCCCGCTTGGCTTCAGCATCTGCTGCTCTAACCGTCGGTCACGGTAAGGAGTTGAACAAGTTGTGTCGACAGATTCGCAGTGAAACGGTTGAGTTGAGAGTTTGGCCTGTCAAGGGTTCGCCGAGGATTTTAGGCATTCCCGATGCAGCTTTCCGGAACAATAGCGACAAGTCGTCGCAGAGAGCGATGACGATTTTTAGTGCTGATGAAAGGGTCAAGAATCGAAGGGACACCCGAGGCTCTTTGGTCTTCTTCGAGTCCACTAAAATCAAACGAACGA